ATCTAAGTCAAAAGTACACCTTTCATTTGAGCAAAATAATACCTATATTTTAATGTTTCAGTCTATTCTGTGACAGCTGCTAATATTTGAATTTCGATAAGGTTAAGGTTCAAGATTAAGAGAAAGATACACGGCTGTTAAGGAAAAAGGACTGAGAACTCTTTTTTGAGAATAGCGAGCCCGACAAATTGCAGATTCAAACAAACGCCGTGCCTAACATAGGAAGTTTCGATGTGGGAATCTTGGCGCATTTTGACCTTATGACTAAATATACCTTGTACTTCATCTTAACGTAATTTCATTGTTAAAAAAAGAGGTAATTAAGACGCTCTCCAAAACTAGAAACTGTATCTTTAATAGGCTCTCAAGACAATTAAAATACACTGTGAGGGAACAATGGTTACACCTTCCGTGATCGTGATATGGTCTGCTCTTAACGCATGCGTAGAAGCTTATCACCAGGCCATACAGGCACAGACATGGACAACTTTCATGTTGCTGTAACCGCATTCTTATACTTTTCGCCATCAATCCAACGGCTTCACTGATGTTCCCAAAAAGATCCTCTAAGTGTGCCAATGCATTCCGCTGTGTTCGCGGGTGCATATTTTCCGTATTTAACTGCCCCTATGTACTATAAGCCTAAGCCTACTCTATTCGAGGGCATACAAGTTGGGAGATTAAAAATAGATCCCTACACTTGTGTGGCTCACAGAATCTGATGTCAGTCTGGTCCCTTATTATAATCTTCATGATTAATTTGTAATTTATCAACTTTATGTTTTCGGGGAAAACTAGGCGTTAATGATCTTTAAAGCAAAAGGCGCTAAAGTCATTAGTCTCAGGGATTTTTCTTTGTTATTTCTAATCTATATAGCGTTAAATATATTTTCCTTTCTGATATTTGATAGCAATTTGACCACATAATGTGTAGGCGCTAGGCCTTTGGGACCGATTAACGCCCTTGATTAGCAGGTTTGAGGATGCAATTCGATAGTCGTGTTCTGTAATTGTCCGTTAATATTTTGATAGCGCCGCAGACACATGAACATGAATCTTGAAGTTTCTACCATTCTATTGACACTAAATTGTTACAATGAAGTTGTATCCTCTGCTTGTAGCGTTTTTTAGTGTGAATGATTTTGCTAGCGGAATACAAAAAGAGGAAAAATTAAGCTGATTTGGACAATACTGTTCATCTCTAAGTATAAAACCTACATCATACAGTAGAATTGTTTCCACAATGGAAACTTTTCGATGTTTTTAATTTTGTCTTCGTTTTTTAATTTTGTTCAGACCCATTTGAGGTACGTGTACATCTTGTAAGGTTCCTCACAAACTGTCGGAATTGTATAGAGTGTACAATCCACTCGTTAGATCATTGCAATCGGATTTGTGCGCGAGCTAAGTCTCCCCAATAACGTAACTATTTCACCGGCGATCAGCTCTATCTTCCGCAAGGAAGGAGGACGCCCAAACAACTTTCAAACAAAGTGAGAGCATCTTTACACAAAGCAACAATAATGAACATTAATAATCAGGGGCCATCTATGAAAATATTCAAGCCCTGTCTAAACTGTGAGAAAAATTTCTCTCGTACAGCTTCTGCTTGTGTTTCGTGATGGCTCGTGTTTATTCCTTGACCTAATACAATAAGACTCGGTAAGCCAAATTATCTTTATTGTCAGTTCGGTTTGCAAATGAAAGTCATGTCAATGAATTCGTTTTTATTTCTTGACTCGTAAGACTAGTATGGCCTTTCTTCTATGCACCCTAATTTTTTGGAACACAATTAAACAGTTTTAATGGGCCATGGCAATAGCTATTGTACAACTCAACTACTTTGCTTTGTTTTTCCAACCGAAGAGCCGATTCTTGAAAATAAGTCGGATCGGATCATAGTTTAGAGTTACTAAAAACTAAGTGCCAGATATAACATATATTTGTCTATTTTATCAAAATAATAACTTAGGCTTCTTTCAAGGTTAGAGCTCAGTGACCAGGTCACTTGAATGATAGTAATTTCCCGGAAAGGTGTTAGTACAAAGTTTGAACATTTCATTCTAACTACCGAGCAGATGTCCTCAAAAAGTTCCACCGGTTACTTGATGTAGCGTCCAATATGTTTCTTTGTCTTGACACAATTTGATCCTTGTTTTACATTGGTAATTCATTTGTCTCAATCTTGTATATGCTTATCCAGGCTCTATCATTTCTTCTTTGGCTTACTTTTCAAACTGCACGTTTGTTTATTTCCCAATACCTCTATTGCTACCAGCCGCGAAGCTTAACGGGCTACTCATTAAAAATATAAATAACAGAAAGTAACTCACTCTCTTTCTTAGTAGGAGCAGAAAGACTTCTTTAAAGGAACATTCGACTGTTCAAAATTTAGAACTTTATTACTGCGGTGAATACAACGCCATAGTCCGAGACAGCGAACCAATCAGATCGCTTAAACACCAAGATAAAAAGATTGAGCGGTAAGGTTTTCCTTACCTTCCTAAGGTTTTGAAACGCCTTCCGTCTTTCCCCAAACCGTTTTCGTGGTTATAAACTTTACATCTTTACGTTCAATTTCTGCATCTATGGGTATCGTGTATTTTAAAAATACCATTTTGCCGTTTTTACATTCAGTTAAACACAACGCCACTCTCCGCTTTCAATAACATGCAAAGAACAATGCGAAACTCTAATCCAACAATGGGATATTTACCCACTTTGGATGGTAATTTGTTTTGCATGAGAGGCTCCTGCCGTAATAAGGCGTTTTAGCCCCAATATCCACATACAAATTCTCCAGACTGAGCTCCATACATTTTCTTAAAGAATCTCATTGAAGAATTTGACAAAACTGAGATCAAAGAATTTTCCTTTTAGGATAACTTTCTTAATTCTCACAATCTTTTCTGTTGATTATCTCTTGCAATTGCTACAAGAAACTTGATGTTGCTCACTCTTGCCACTTCAAGGGCTAATGATGTAACGTTCTAAGAATTAACCCTTGTGACTTTAACTTCATAAAGTGTCATAATTTGGTATTAAAGTGCTGCACTCTACAAACACTTCTTGTAATTCGTTAAACAAACTTGTCTATAAGTTGCATCGAAGGCGAGATAAAGATCACTCCGTCATATACGAAAGCCTCGCACAAAAGGATACCCAAAGGGACTAGCTGCATTGATGTGAAATAACTATGAATAAGAATCAAATGCTCACAAAGTGGTCATTGTGTGGTTTGCTAGGTAAGCGTGATGCCGTGACTGAATGATTGTTTTAGTAATCAGCTTAATTGGCCAATTGTAGTTTTTCCAATAAAATCTGGTTAAATTATTCTCAAAACGAAGTAAAACTAGACAAAGGTATGATCAGGAAAGAAAAACATGTATTTATCCCTAAAGGTAAACGGAAAAATATTAATGCTAACAAAATAATAATAATATTAATTATCATTATTATTATTTACGAATGAAAAATCGTACATTCTACAACATGCTTTTTGTATCTTTTGTTTTATGGTTTTGTTTGAGTTGTCTTTAGAAACTTTCCTGAGAATCGAGACAAAGAAGAAGGAAGAAGGGATAAAGCACACAGTAAAAGTTTAACTCAGAGTAACACTTTGACCTTTTAATAAGAAATAAACTCCAAAGGCTTAGGCAAATCAGGAAAAGCCGATAAAAGTAAAAGAGAAAGAAACATGAAAATTCTACCAAAAGACGAGCCTATTAGAAAGTTTTTTACAGCAGAGAACAACTTTTTAACCTTCTTGGAATTTTACCAGCATATAGCAAGACTTTCCGGCGAATATGATTCTTCAGATACTAAACATTTGTTACATGCCTTCAGCTTAAAATTTTATCACGTAATAAGGCAAGCCAAGTCTCGAATTAAAGTGCATAACAAGGTCGTGTGTGGGCAGGCATCACTTCGCATTCAGCACACCGCATATATATGTTGATCTTATTATTCTGATTTGTCAGGTCACGATAAAGTGACTTTCTTGTTATTGTCGCCCACGCTAAAAAATAGGTTTCATTTAACATATTATGTGAAAGTAGACCTCCGTGCTTGTTTGAATTTACTTTCTTTGTGCAAAACAAAGTACCCTCTATGTCGTGCTCTACTAGGCGTAGTACTTAATTCATATACGATTACTCGAGGTGGATTTGACAAAGCTTGGCTATGTGGACGTAGCACGCAACAGGCCTTCATCGCGTGTTTAGTAGCCCGTCGTAAGCTCTCCTCGTTCGATGACCAGCCCGTAATAATCAAACGGTTAAGAAGGCTCATTAGTAAATAATCTTTTTAAATCCTTGTGTAAACTACTATTAGGTAATACTGTTGCGATGCCAAAAGAGAGGTAAGCATTTCTTGAACACGAATTTCTGTGTACAGTTTTCAGGAAAGGGCTTTCAAATCGAGTTTAGAGTCACAGGCTGGGAGAAGAGGGAAGTCTGGAAGCAACGCACAGACATGTACATGTCATCTCTGTTATCTTGACATTATCCTCCAAAATGCAATACCTTAATCTTTTTATTAAAATTTAATCTACAGACTAAGTACCTATTACACCATTATTTGTTTAACGCTAAAACACTCAGCACATCAACTGCAAAAGTGATTGTCTCTTTGTTTGAACTAACGTAAGCAACAGTTTTTACTAACTTGCAGCTTTCACCTCTTTTTGTGCGAGTTACAAGCTTTATGTAAGAAACAAACCATCGCATGTTTGACTACCCTTGTCAATCTCTAGTCATAGTCCGCTAAAGAAAAATCGCTTTAAGTCATTTTCATCCGACAGTCCGTATAAATATATAACACTAATGCTAATACGCTATAAGTATTATCCCTTCAAAAACACGCTCCTCTCCGTTAAATCACAGGCCTTATGAAAACATATTCACGTTAACACACAAATTTACATTCTGTGTTTGAAGGAATTCATTGAAAAATTAACGCCACCGAGTGGATTTTGATGATGCTCTGAGAGACTGGAAGTTTATTAAGACGGTAGAAAAGAAATGTCAGCATCAAAGAATAACGCATGACTAGACAGGATTAGCGAGTTCCGTAAAGAGTGACAGATTTAGGCTTTAGGAATGAGCTCAACACGCTAGTTACTCGTACAATACTAAACAAACAAGCCATCACGCATATATTATACTACGGGAAGGCGAATGACTTAATTCACTGCCAAGTCTAACAGGAGACAGTCAAGATAAGCCAGAAGTCAGGGAAAGGTAGAAAGCGCTCTTAATTTTTCAACAGGAACAGGTACAAACTTTTAATGATTTTTGCACTTTTTCATTACGAAACTTCCGCACTCTTCCTCGACTACTTCTAACTTTTTCACCATTTTTTAATATTACTTTTCCAAAACAACTTTAACTTTTCCAAAACAATTTCAATTTATTATCAATGGAAGAAAACAATAATAATAATAATAACAAACATCACTGCAGTAATCTAAACTGATTACAAATTTTGACTCAAGGAAATATCCCATAAATTGATTTCTTCTGGAAGTAAACTATAATAACGGCCTGATTACACGTTATCAACCGTATATTCATGTAGTACGTTCACTTTAAACATTATAAGGCTTGAGATATCCGCTATAGTTTGCGAAGATAAAAAAACCCGCAGTTGTCGCATTGGTCTTTCTCCATCAACCGATCTTCTAAAGTTTATTTAATTTTTAGGAAAAAGACAATCAGCCAGCTTTAAATAAAGTTTAGTCCTGTTTAAGAAAAAAAAACTACGCTGCTGATTTAACAAGCGCTATCAATTTCTTCAGATTTGATCGGAACTACCTCATCAATGGATTATAACTCTGAAAGAGGCTACTAAGAAGACTATGTTAAAAATCGGAACTACGAAGTTAATAACATACTAAAAACAACCAAAATATTACTAACCCAGTTATTTGCACCACAACGGAACGAATTTGCCCGTCATTTCCCGTTATTTATAATGACCGAAATCTCCGTTTGATCAGCCAGTGAACTGATAATGATAATATCCTATAACGCGGAAGTCCACAAGACCAAAAAATCAAAGACGACATCAACCTTATTAAAAAAGGTAACTTTGTGGACGTTTGATTATTTTAAGATTTTCCTTTCGTCGATCAAACCGTTCGTAGGAAAAAAGCTTTCATCTTGAAAAAACGAACAAATGATATAAAAAGGCGTTTTAGCTAGAATTTGCGAAAAAATCCGTGTCGGACTTTATCCGAAGCTTCAATGTTACTATTACGTAAAACACGATAAAGGGAAATTCGGACTTCACTCTCAAGAATAAAGACAATTAGTAAAGTTTACTGATGGGCCTTAAAAACAATCCAACAAAAAAGCTAATTTTGTTCGACACAACGTACTAGCACAAACATAGCGTGACAAAAATATAGGATTACCAAAAAATAAAGGTCCAAAAATACTGTAAAGCGATTTAGTTAAACACAAGGAAGCCTAAGAAGGATCAAGTGTGTTGTTGTTGGCTGGGAACGGAAAAAGCTTTGTATTGTGGTAAATGACGAAGTCAGCTTTCATATTTGGCGTACTAGAGAGATTATTCACCAACATGACTTATGCCATGAAGGAGTGAATCCGGTATACAAGCATGAACCGCGACATTAGGTCAGTGAAGCTCCAACCTTTGCCTGAGCATTGTTTCCCGGGTACCATCCATTTCCGATAAGAATCCAGTGCAAAAATGTTTACAGTAACACTCTCTAAGGTGGACACCTTAAGGACCAGCACTAGGTGTCCTTCTGAGAGAAATGTCCCCCTATAGAGAGTCAAATAAAAGGGGTAAAGAAGGACGGGGACCAACTCTAGTTGTCCGTCTTATAAAAGGTGTCCGTTAAGAGAGTGTCGACTGAATTTCTCTCTAGCTGGATCTGATCTTTTTACCTTTTCCACCACTGTTAAAAGCTTCGGTAATGGTTGCGGCCTCTAACTATAATTTCAAATTACTTTCGGACTAGAATTCTAGAATTCAAACTGTTAAACGTCCAGATTTAAAGTAGTGTTAAGGTATTATACTGATTGTTAGAAGATATGCGCAGTGATTGCTTATTTTACCAAGCAGAATAGATTTCGGACCGGTATTCGGGTTTTCAAAGTTGAACACAAACGCACCTTACAGTACAAAACCTTTTCAGTTACGGGAAACCAAATCAAGTAGGCCGGTGACTGGAATAGCGTAAAGATGGAAAAAAAAAGAGAATTCTCAAAAAACTCTTAGCCTAAATATCGCCCAGGACGGAAATATTGCCGTGGAAAACATGTAATTTGCTTAATGCCGGTTTTTTGAATCATACATGTCCTCACAATCACGATTTAAAGAGTGAACTATTTCTTTGAAAAAAGAAAATGTAAATTCTTGTCGAGAATTTGTAGGTTTTAGCTGATTTTATAAGGGCTTCTTGAGCGTTTACAACTAAAAGGATATCGTAAAACCGACAGTGAATAACAACACCAACTGAAAGGAAATTCAAAAAGGATGATTGTCTCCAGCCATGCACCTAGTTTACGAACAAGACAATATTTTTCCTTATTACATCTAAATCAAAGTCTAATCATCTCACTGACTTACGCAGCCCGGCTGCAAAACTAAAGAAGACGGAAGTTGTATATTTCCTTACTTAACGATTTACAGCAGAACCGCATTCTCTATTTTGCTGGCTAGTTTCTTATTTTACAAGATGATGATCTTAAAAATCTAGCGCTTATTTTCAGTTACATTAACGTGTTGGTCAGAAAATGAATTAAATATTTTGTCTCTTGTCCAGCTGGTTAAGTTTCATGCAGTTTGTCACGTAACATTTATGTAAAAATGGTTTTGAAAACACACTATGCATATGATCTCGGATGATCACAGTTTCTTATTTAATTAATTACTCTTTTCCTGGTTGTACGCATTACAAAAGCCCCTTCCTAGGAGGTCTGCTTGGCTGCAATTAGGTCAACATCAATCAGTGTCTTCGGCGAATATCTTGAGTAAACTATCGGCATTACACATAGATAAAGGTGTGTACTTTATGATAAACCTGGTTTAGGGTACATAGTACAGAGGCTGGCTTTCTAAAGCGCGATTTGTTTAACCCCATGGCTGGGTTTTCTATTCGGAAATGAGCAGCTTCAAGAGAGCAAATTAAAAAAAATCCTTCTAGGCATCCTTGCGCTTTATTACGAAGCTCATATGGATTACGTGTTAATATCCTTCTGTGCCCTTTATCAAGTCGAAACAGAATTATGGATGTGACAATGGAGAGAAACATTTAAGCTTCTGAATGAAATTTAGGTGGTTTCACATCAAAATGCAAAGGTTTTGCAACTGGAACACAAAGGTATTTAAAAGGGCATCGGTTAGTGAAAAGAGCCTGGAGGCAACATAAATTAGACTTTCAATATACCTTCTTCTCTTTCTCAGTCTGCTTGCTTATGAGCTCATTATAGGATTCACTATTCTGGCCTTATTGACGATTGATCACTTTAGCTGAAAAACGAAAGTAAAGGGCGAAGCAAATCTACTTACAATCTTTTCAATTAATTCTATTCAATCCGTCGCAACCCTTTTTGGTACAGAGAAGGTGTGGTGACCCAAGCTTCCATGTTTTTCAATTCGAGAGACCAAAAATACGTATGCATAAGAACTAAATATTCTTAAGGGTGTAGAGTAATTTATATAGCTGTAGAACCTAGGAATATATTGTTTATAGCTGTAGTTGTCTACCGCGACTGATTAAAGTCTCACTAAAATTGTATCAGTTCGCAGTGGTTTCTCATAAGGCCAAAAAACGACAACACGTTATGCATAGAACACAGAATAGTAGACTATACGATATTTTCAACTTTTTGGTGGGCTAATCGCCTAGAAAAGTGAGCGATAAATAATTGAAATTAATGTACTGTTATATTTTTCGTAGAATATTGAACAGAAAACAAGAGGATTTTAAGAGGAGGAAATAAACACAGGTTCTCCACTTTAAGCTTGAGGCGGGTTAGACAACTGATAACAAGCATATCAAAGACGGCCCGCAAATACAGACAATAGCGTGCAAGATGGAATCAGATTTGAGCTCTTCGTCTTTTTCTATAGATAACATCCTTAAACCTGATAAATGCGACTCAACAGAGGAGCCTCGCTCAGCGGATCGGGCGTTAACACTGGCTGAGCGATTAGCTGGTATGTAGCATGTGATATAAGTATAACAGAATACACTCTGTATATTAAAGTGCAAGCCAGAACTTTCTTTGCCTTTAAAAACATTAGCAACGTCAAACCCAAAAGGTCATCTATACTTACTTATGCTTAAAAAAAATCGTTCATTGATCTAGTCAACAGAACCACCCGTGCTTGTCAGTCTTGCTCGAAATTTGCCTTAGTAGAGCATCTTTTTACAATGGATTTACTGTAACATACGATCAAGACATTTTCTGCTCAAGATTGTTCGTTTGTTGTTGTTTTGGTTTGCGTTTTCGATTTTTGAATTTACAGTGTCGTAATTATTTGGCGCTCAGGCTGGAGATCGCTTAACTTTCAAAAAAAGATTTGACTGAAAACTTGTGTAGCATGCTAAAACACTCTGTATCTACCTAGAAACGGTAGATTCGTTGTTACTTCAACGCATGATAGGGACCTCTGTAGAATAAGCTCTCGTAACTGAAAGAAAATAAAGCAGTGATTTTACTTCATTGAAAAGCAAAATACTTTTTTCTACGCTATTTCAACTCCTGGTAACCACCACTTGAAACATAAGAGTTGCTTCTGTTTACGTTTATTACCCTTTGGTCAAAACAGACAAAATATATCAAGAGACAAGGCATTTTCCAAACAAAATAAACTATTCTCAAAGTGAGACCAGGGCTCGACTATGTGTACATGCGTTCAAGCTACTACCCTAGACCGAGCCGAGCCCAGCTTCCGTTTATAACTTAAAAAAAGAGAGCGTGAAATAGACGGACACAGCTGCTCAGGAAAATGTTCTGGCTTGCTAAGGATAGGATAAACACCTTAGTCCAAATGAAATTTAAGGAGGTAAAACTGAAAAATAATAATAAAAAATTTGTTTGCTCCCTACTTTAATAACAGGATGAGTTTGTCCTTGACCAACCCATGTACCTTCCTTTGCTACCTTGCTCACCTTTGCCTTAATTTAAACTCTATGAATTACGAATCTCGAAATTCAACTTAGACAATTGAAAAGTAGAAAAGATGGTGAGGTTTTAAGCTCTGTTAATTCACGAGTGCCAACGTAGTTCAGTGGGTTAAGAGCGCCCGAGCAGTGTCTGCGAATTAGTTTAGAATCCTGACTGGCGCTTTCGACGCGTTAACGCGCGACAAAACCCTAGGAGCGTTTGCGTGAAAAGCATTACACAATTTTCAGGTGGACTGGAAGTTTTCTAACTTTATCAGATGAATAGAATGTGTCTGATTTTTTTTCTAGATATCATACTTGAAGTGCATTATGGATCATCAAGAGGAAAACACCGACGCACGCGCACCGCGTTTACTCATCAACAGCTTCAAATACTGGAAAACACTTTCTCCAAGACACATTACCCGGATGTAGTAATGAGAGAGCAATTGGCTGCCTATATTAACATTCCAGAATCAAGAATTCAGGTAAATGGAAGTAACTGTATTAGCAAAAAGTGCTTAGTTATTACAACCTGAATAATTTCAAATTCGGGTAGAGTCAATGCAAAAGATATATCTATCTGCTTATGTGCGGCAGACTAGCTAAAAGAGGATAACATTTAAATTCGTTGACCAAAGCAATGATCGCCTTCACCCTTAGATAAGAAAATATTAATCTTTAAGGGACTTGAAATAGCATTTGGGAAAACTGGAGCATCTTCACGAGTATGCTTATAAGTTAACATCCAGTCCAAAAGAAGTAGAAATCCACATAAAACAAAGCGTTAATGTTATGCCTCTTTTCCAAGACGAGTAAAACAGCTAACGAGCTGGCGTAAATAATAATAATAAAAAATGTTAGTGCCGAATAAACCGATTTACAGAGTGCCATGCCATGAAACTAAAGGCGCATAAAGATGATTTGTTATTTGTAGAGCCTCCTCCGTCTTCTTGATCGAGGAAGAGAAAATGAGGCTTTGCCTGAATCGCGTTAAAGCCAAAACGTCTGGGCGCGTCAAACCGGTTTTTCTAGTGTGAGTCATTATTGATAAACCGATGGTCATAAATGAGCCTGCTGTACCAAGCGCACGGCTTTTAGGACTGGGTTCGCAACTGTATCCCAGCAGCATGCAGCGCATGCCCAACAAAGATATCACGTAGAGCCTTTCTCGCCAAAATCGAGCAAGCGAAAAAAGGGTTTCTGACAGGGTCGGTGTTGTAAGAGCGATTAGTGATTAATACTCCATTAATAAATTTCAGGTGTGGTTTAAAAACCGAAGAGCTAAATACAGGAAGCAAATGAAAGACGGCGAGGAATTAAATACGGCCGAGATGGAAAACAAAGCGATGGAACGTCACTATAACAGTCAAGATACTCCGCCTTGGAGCCCACAACATTTTTATGGAGCCGGTAGCTTGCCATTTGGACCAGGGAGTGCTGTTTCAGCTCCAGGCAATTTCGGACAATACTCCTGGCCATCTGTGCCGTTGTATACCTCAAGTCCTTGCGCGTGTATGCCTTCATACTCTGAAAGTACAAAAAGGGCTTGGTCTGCATGCACGGCGTGTTATGAAAATACGGACACTAAAAAACATTTAAATTGACTGCCAGTAGCTTTATCTCTTTAACAGTTGGTGTATGGGCGGTCGAGATTTGGTTAACTTGAGTAAAAAATGCTGTGTATGTCTTTTTGTGTATATAGATGTTACACACCCACTGACACTAAATTCCAGTGAACCTTTTTCACAGTAGTGGAAAAAAGGAAAGGAAAAACTAACTTACATTGTAAGTTTGGCATTTAAAAAACTTTCACCAAAGAAAAGCTGAGTTATAAAATCGTATTGAGCAACAACTTAGTGAAAATGGATAGGGGATTGTCATAATCAATATTGAAGATGTAAAATATCTTAAAAGCCAAAATAAACACACCTCATTGTTTGTAAATATTTGGCAACTGAGAACTAATAAGTTAATAAACTCAATCGGTCGCCGATGTGACCCTCCAGGATGGTAAAATTTGTACACTTCTCAAGTGAGATAAATTGTGTGTTGTAGTCTTGTGTGTTGTAGTCTTGTGGTTTAGGTAGATTATTTCACAATTCAACCAAATAGTTACCTAAGAGTGTGCTAACGACGTTAGGAAACGCTAAATCCTCCGACGTTTTTAAAATTTCATCTTGAATGTCTAGTTTTTGGATTAAGGGCAGCAAATCTGGTTTCGGATTAAGATAAGAATTCCCTGAGAGCTAGACAATTTATCAAATCCGCACACAATATAGTGCTCAAAGTATTTCTAGAGATTCAAGATAAAATTAAAAGCTAGAGTGAAGTCTGGTCATAATAGCTAACATAGTGCGGGTACACAAAGCTGAACTGAAATAAGAGAAATATCACTTAATGTAACAAAAATGGAGAAATGTCTCGCACAACACGAACAACGAAAAATTTATCATCAGAGGCAGTAATAACATCTTCGCAGAACAACAACGATGTTCACCAATTCAGTTAACAACAAAGGCTAGGTCGATCTCCAGCCGGGGTGTCTTGATGAGAGAATCGCGGGCACATTGAGACACAAAAAGCTGGATACCGAACCTACGAATGACAAAGTCATCACACCCAACTTGTCCTCTTTCTAACTAAGATTGATAGCATAACTGAGTCCTTTAATGTTGGTACATGGATTAAAATTTGAATGCATTCACTATGATATTATCATAACTTAATTACGACGGAGGAGTCCTACAGATCGGTTTGGGAGAAGATTGTGTCACAAAACTCCCTGTATATAGCACATTATCGTACATGAATAAAAAGAACTTTTTACTCAGTGTTGACTGTCTTGTTAGTATGTGAATTACAAGCAGGACGTGATGTAGAAAATATTAAAAAATCACTTTTTAGTAATATGAAGGTTTTAATTTATAGTAGAATTAAAATTTCACTTAAGTCAAAAGTATCACACACAGACCTTTGCCTTTCTTCTTTCTTGATTACCCTTGCTTAAAACAGAAACTTCCCGTCGGAGTGGGGGAGACTCTCCTAGGGAATAGAGAGGCAAATAGATAAAGCCAAGCAATAAAGCCAGCTATAAAACAGAGAAATTAAATAAGTTGCGATGAAGAAGAGAGAGTAAAGAAAAGGGGAAAAGGATATAGCCATAAAGATTGAAGAAGTAAAAGTAAAAAAGATAAAGAAAGGAGATCGAAAGTTAAGATTTAGAAGGCACTGATCGAAGAATAGTGGGTAAAAGCGATGAAAAGAGACTAAAGGAATGGGAGTGATGAAAAAAGGAAAGGAATGTTAAAGAAAGACTGCAACAAAGACTGAAATAAAGAGAGGTGAGTTGAAGAAGTGCGATAAGAGAAGTTCCGCTTCGAGAAAAAAAATTAAATAGACAGAGGCAGGAAGGCAAGAGAATGAAGGAGGAAGTGAATGAAGGCGACAGAAGTAAAGTGAAGAAGGGAGTAAAACATTGAAATAAAGATGACGTAGAAGATATGAATGATTTACCAGTTGCCGAAAGGGGAAAGAGGGTGAACTAAAAGGAAATTTTAAAAAAACAGTTTTCAAAGTTTCAAACGCAACGGTGGTGTTGCTTCGGTTGGGAAATGAAACTTCAAAATTTGAATTTTTATCAGAGGCCTGAGCTTCCAACTTAACCGATATTAGTAACTCATGAAAGTTAAATTATACAGTAATTTGAAGGCGTACGCATGTCACTAACAACAATTTCTTAGTGTTTTTCCTATGATTTTCATTAATTCTCAGTCTGTCAACGGTAATGCGTTAACAAACAACAAGCACAAGTGCTCGTCAACGACAGCATCGATGTGAATATTCTGGTGAAAGGAAAGGCTCCCGCTGCGTGGACATCGTCTTTGAACAAAGAGACAAGGCGGGAAGTCAGAGGCCCCTTAAACTTCTCCTCTGGGTACACTCATGTAACTGGGTTAATAAAGTTAATTTATGCTTCATAAATCAATTGTTGATGTTGGAGGAGTCCCACTTTGGGTGAGCTCTGATTGCGGAGATACCAGATAATGAAAATTCAATTTTGGGATGAATTTGGCCTCAGGAGTGGCCGAAGCCTCTTAACATTCTCTTCTGGCTACACCCCTGTATCAACCGGGTTAACAAATTCAATTTACCATCGTAAAAAGAGGAACCGGCGACGCAAAAGGCTGGTCACGAGCCAGCTGAACCCTCCGAACCATTCAAGGGCACACCCCATTGGGAGGGGGCACTCCACAAAGTCTTATACCCGTAGGCTCCGCCCTGAGGTCCAACCTATTACCCTTTTATACAGTATACCATTTTTGACAGAAATGCTACCCCTTTCGTTTACCTTCTACTGACAAATGATACCCCTTTCTCATACCTAGCAGTTGGAGTGCTGCATCCCTTTTAACAGCCGTAAAGAGTGTCTTTTGGCCCTTTTAGGTCCTTTTACGTACCGAAATGACATATTCCCTTACCCTCTTATATACTTCAAATCATGAAACCCCCTACCATTTCACATACCTGAAGGCTGAAAAAGGTACTCCTTTCGGGGGTAGCCTCTCTGTATAGACCGTTATAGGGAGTCTCCCTACACCACAGAAAGCCTCACAAAATCTAGAAAATAAATTCCTTTTTCAAATCGGCACTTTAAATCGCTATAGAATCAAAGAACTTTTTTCATTCAACTAGTTTATCTTGTTTTTCGCGTTACCATCAAAAACAGTCGCTCCACTTGTTTTATATATATGTTGTGGTTCAAATTTATCTTTGGTTTAAATTTTATTTCTCTTTGATTTAAACTCATTATCATACATTACCATAGCCCCAAACTAAAGGAAATAGAATTTAAAACAAAGGATAAAATTGAACCATGACATATACACCACACACAACTCACAAACCTATTCGCCTGCACCTCACTAACTGAGCGCTTGGCACAGGCTAATCCACTATGATGCCGCGAAGCAATGTGCCGAGGGTGTTTGTTCACGACTCGAGTTATGACCAAAACGTAAGATCTTTTGATGGACAGATATTTCTAATGACACAATTACAAATAAGACCCACGGGACAAACACATACACCATTAAATAACAGGCACTTTTGCCATTGTTCCCGTATAGAATCTTATTTTTTTTAACCGGCGTTTATTACGATTAGATAGGTTAGAGCTATCTCAAAATGCGACAGGGTTGGTTCATTACAATTTACGACTGAGATTATAAAAATAACAACAGGTTTTTTAAATTACCACAGAATAAGCTACCTCGGAAAGTGGAGGAAAGCATTCTTTTCCACCTCGCAAAAAAGATAACGACAATAATGATGATGATGATGATGATGACGATGATGATGATGATGATGATGATGATGATGATGATGATGATGATGATGATGATGATGATGATGATGATGATGATGATAAATGCAGAAATGCAAAATCAACTTAATCAATTTTTCATAAAACCTACAAAGAAAGCAGTAAAGAATTTCATGGAAAATAAAATATATTTCTAAACCAATGTAAATTTTTTCACACAAATGCCTAGAAAAAATAACTTAAATGAACAAAAGTAAGTATATAGAAATTCCAAGAAAATTATTATACAGCAAAATAGAAACAGAATCAAGAATTCTAGAGGATGGCTCCTTCAGCAGTAGTTTTAACGTCAATATGCAAATTTAAGTGACACTAAATATAAAAATTCCTAAAATCACAAAGAAATGTAAAAATAAATCAAAAGTCCCAGTGGACAGTTCCTTCAACAGTTCCAATGTCAATGGGAGCCTTGACATTGACATTGATATCATCATCATCATCATCATCATCATCATCATCATCATGATCATGCACATCATCCACATCAACATCAAACAATATTCGTCTCATCGGTGACCATGACCATCATACGTTTCTGAGTAAACTTCAAAAAACTCAACATCTTGACGATAAAGTCATCGAGGAAGCCGCTAACTAAGAAAGAGAAAAGAATTTGGGTCATCTGGACGAGGCCAATTAAAACTTTAAGAGATCTTGACGGGCTGACAAGGTTACTGCCTTAAGGTGGCCCCGCCCCACTTCTTTAACTCTTAGTGGATGAACATATTTAATTGATGAATTCTTTTCAGAAGAAAAAGGAAGACAGAAATTTAAAATCAGTATTCAAGGATGCTGAGAGATACGCGGGGGAACCGCAGTTAAACTGTTAAAAGCGCTAGTTACTATTTACGCCGAGTCCCGAAAAACAAAAAAAATTCTTCGAAAAATCACTGAGGAGATGAGAACAGCCATGGGTGGGAAAATATGTAAACCGGCACTGGAACTGACCCAGAGATCTCAGATATTAGAGGGCTGGGAGAACTATTTGTCGTACCTTGGTCTAAATACATTCTTTATGCTTAATGACCATAATCAATGCCATGATAATTTCAGTTTTCAACGATCTGTGGAAAAATTGTCTCAAAGAGGTTGGAAATAAATATACAGCAAACTGGTTGCTGAAACATGTTTAATAGATCCATAATATCAAAGGAATTAAAAAGAACGAGTCCTCTAAATATTGGCGATACTTAATTTAAAAAGGAAAACTGGCAGTCTTAATTTACAGCATCCTAGAAGGCAGTTGTGTGTGAACTTTTTATCTTAGGCAGGTAAACCAGGCCCCTTCTTAATTTCTTAAAGCCGGAAAGGAGTAGTCGCAGTAGCAGCAGCAGTAGCAGAAAAAAGAGAATCATTTGGTCGGAGCCTTTAGCTTCTGGGAGGTTCCAAGGACCAAACCATGCGACAACTCCGGAAGTTTGTAAATTATAACCCCGAAAGAATCTTAATGCCTAAAATTTAACCGTTACGTTCAACATAATACGATGGTAAACGGTCTGGATCTACACCTTGCATGTCATGCATATGGTTTCCGCCCCGCCGACATATCTTTGCACCAACAGTAACAACAGCACTGAGTGGTTGTGGCGGTACGGTTGACTCCCGATAGTTCGAACCTCCCGCTAACTCGAACCAAAATCAATTTCCCCTTGATTTCCCTCATACATTTACTATAATTTTACCCTTTTTAAAATTGCGTGTTAGTACATCACTATACGACTGAATTTATAATTAGTTCTGAGGCGTGTAAAACTGTGTAGGTTTAAGCCACTACAATGGTAATACCCGTTTCTGTAAAAATAGAAGTCAAAAAGGGGATTACAAAAACACATGGAGTGGGCGTTGTCGTTGCAAGACCCGGCCCAATTTCTGAAAAGCCGAATAGCGCTAGTCCTTGTGAACAATTTTAATTCACATTGCATTCAACCAGGTCCCTAGTATGGATATTTCAGGGAAGAGAATCATATGTTTTTGTGACTAGGTCTCCAAGAAAAGGGTCAAGAATATTTTATCAGCTCCAGTTACATGTTCCTAGACGAGAAACCTTTCATTAAAATTCGACTTAACCCGGGGTTTAAACTTTGGTACAGGTATTGAAGACCGGGCCCTTGTTCAGATCAACAACCTACTGATAATCACGTAACGGGAAAACCGTTTAACTGTCAAGAAGACCTGACTGGAATAACTAAGGACGTCACAACATTGAAAGATGTATGGATTTAGTACACAGGAAACTAGTTGTAGGGTCCTTCATCGCGACAGTACCTTACTGCAAGCCGCTATTTTTGGAACCGGATAATGGAATAAATGTTTTTGACGAAAGCAAGTTATTTCCTCACACGATGCTACCCGACAACATCATCCGGCGTTTAATATAATTGCTTGCCACCGAAAATTAAAAAACCATCCATCAAAATCCACATGTTGAGTGGATGAATAATATTTTCTTTTGCTAAAGAATCTTAAATATTTTTGAAGCGTTGATGACCTAACGAAACCTTCTTTGTTACCTTAGTTTTGTTGTAAATCAGTCACTTTTATAGGACTCGAGCTTTCACAAAAAATGAGAAGTGAAACGGGATTTTTCATAATTGAAAAGTATTATTCAAGTTCAACACTGATCAACTATGTTATGTTAATAATTGGTTGAACTCAAAGCAATTGACCTCAAAGGTCTCATTGTTCAGCATAAAAGTCTGCTACCCCCAAAACATTCATCGAGGGCTTGTCGCCACTGCTTTGAGAGTTTTAACGTAAACAAGTCGCATACAAGAAACATGTGTTTGAAATAAAACAATCGATAGGTCACGAAATATTATTACAAAACCCTATTAAGCCTTAGATAAAAAGCTACATCAGCGAACCTCTTTTTAGGCCTTAAAAATGCCTTCCTTGTCCACAGTATAGCCAAATATCATAAATTTTTTGTACAAGGAGAAGCCGGTGTGCCATGAAACAAGCGCATGAAAAACACAATTTGATACGCAAAAAAGAGTGGTATCCACGGCATAAGGAAAAAAGAAAACACAAGTCTTATTACCCTTAGCATAAAGGTTCTTAACACAAAAAAGTAGAGGTCGAGTTCGATATGAAAGAGCGCTAGTGCTAGCGATAAGACACATATCACTTTGTAGCCTGCGTCTCAGGCGCTTGGAAGAAGTGGGTGAAAGAGAGAACGGGCGCGCGCGAGGGGTGCGAACTCAATAGTGGAAGAAAAGGTGCTTGATTATTTAGGATGCCTTGTGGACGTCGAGTGAGTGACCGGGCATGCTGATAAATCCAGCTGTGGCTTCAAAGAAGGCTACAATTATAGACTGATTTGGATTTTTTAACGAACATAATATTTGCTTTTAACATCTGCAATGTGATAAAATAAATCCAATCCTTCTCTTCCTGTCCTTTGGTCGTGATAGCTTTTAAATGCCACACCCAAAGCACTGTTTCGTAGAAATATTACAAAGAGCGCCCAAGAATAAAATATATATATAGTAGACATAGTTATGATTGAAACATATGTACACATCACTATAATTATGCGAGTGTTTACTGTCCCGCTAGTCTTATGTCGTAGTTTAGGTTTGAGACTTTTATCACCGGCGTGTTTTGATTTCGGCTTTGCAAAGCTAATCTTTTACTAACACACTTATATCGGTATACCATTTCTAATGGGCTTCTAAACAAAGTAATTGTGGCTTAGCTTATCTGCTTAAACTAGCGGCAGTATTTTTACATCGTCGTTTAATTAAAAACCATCTGCCTTGGTGACAGTAATTAAATCAACTTGTCATCGGCAGTAAAAAGGGCATTCATCTTTACAAAGAGAACTTCTAATTGAGTCGGAGACGAGAGCAGACATCGAATACTCACTGAATACTAAAGTAATCGCTTGGTTCTCTACCCACAAGCTGCAAGTTTTGTATTTACGGATATGAAAATATATTTTACGTTTCCTCAGCGACATAAGATGCATAAGTTCGAGTTACGCAGAATTAAACTGGCCCCACTTTTTTCCCCACAAAACTGGCTCACGTAAAAGCCATGTTGTCGTGCACAATCGGAATTCAATTTATCATTTTTGACAAACTGAAGAGGTCATAGAATGTAAAATTTACGTTAGGCTTCTTAAAAACTATCAACAAGCTTGTATATTGATTTTAAGTTGACTAAGTTGATCAGCAATTTCGCATTTAAGCCTTTCATAGCTGATAGAAAATTTTCTTTAGAAGGACTGGGGATATTAAACAATACAGTGTAGGGAGGGTTATCGCTGTGCAAGGCACGCAATCGAATTATATAGTTTTTAAAAGATGATTTTATTTTTTAAAGCTCTTACTTGAAAACATGTGGTCGGAATTGTAGCTTGCAAACGAAAGTTGCACAAAACGCCAACAAACTGTGAAGTGTTCTGAACAAAAGGAAAACAAAGCTTCTAAATTCCAGAAGTTTGGGTGAGGTAAGTTTGCATCTGATAAGAACGGTGTCTGATTAATCATACGATGCATGTGAATGGCGAAATTGAAATAAAATAAAATAAGCTAAGCTATTGTACTCTGTTAGAGTACAGATGACGGAAGTAGGAAGGATAGAAATAATTTTCCGTGTTCATAACCAAAGTTATATACACTTAATGTAAATACAGATTACCAGATGTTATATGCCCGTATTTGGCAAGTTCTGTCCTAAGTCAACCTGACACTTGAGTCTGTTGAAGACTTAGTGCACAGAACACGAGTCTTAAGAAACAAATAATGAATCAAATAGAGCTTCTAGGTCCAAACGGAGGATCACAAAGAGGAACGAACGTAAAGTCGTCCTCTTTCACGATAGAAAATTTGTTGAAACCTGAGAAAAAGAGAAGCGGATCAGAATGTCCCGTGGAAACGCCTTCCAAGATAAAAGCACTGTCCGTGGCAGCACATCTTGCAGGTTTGCATTTTTCTCTTTCACCTTCCGTTCTTTCAACAGTACGAGTGTGCAGTGAGCTTTTAGGAGAGGGTTGATTCTGTAAAACTGCCAATCGAAATTTGTTTCAGTGAAATCTATGCCTTCACTTGCAAAGGAAACTTCAGTGCTGGGTATGACATTCAAAAATGGTGTAATTGTAGTTAGAATTAAACATTATCCCACCTGGAGACGCTTTCTATGATAGCTAATTGAACTAACAAACTGATTTAGTAAATTGTTTTGCCAACCATCTCCAAAAACGTTTGAGCCACGATTCTCTAATGTCATGCACTTTCTATTTCTTTTAAAAATAAAAATGGTTTAGGCAACATCAGTTGATATGTTTCATAACATAGTAACCCTTACTAGTAAACTATGGTGTAAGTTGGTTAAATTAGGCCGATTGTGTGTCCTCCGTTTGTGTAGATTTTTGTGTTAAAAAGTCTAGACTAGTAACTGAAAATACAGACGTTATAACCATGCGAGTGGTGGATGTAACCAAATGGGGCACTGCTAAATCGCTACAAGATTTGGTCAATGAATATCAACTTGAAGCTTTTCTTGTCATCGAAGACTCTCAGTCACAATATTGAATTTGTCCACTGCAGAGGTCAGTACACATGTAAGTTACTGTCGTTATTTTAAAACGGACAAAAGTCCAAATCTTTCCTCTACATTTCAACACTCAAAATTCTAGAATACCACAAACATGCATCACGATAAATTCCAACACTTCGCCTGTAACCAACGCCGAGTCTTAACGTTTCTCAGTCAAGATGATCACTCCTTTAGTCTCGTTTAGGTTTAACAAGGGTATTCTTAAAACCATTTAACGTTCATTTATATAATTATTGTAGAGCTTTAAGGGTAATGTTAGTTGTAATGCCACGGATTAATGTTCTAGCGCGGAAGAACTGTTTTACTTGTAGGACACGAAACAATTATTTCAATTCTAGTAACCACCTGTCATTGGATTGCTTTGCCAATAAAACCGGTCTTTACCTCCCAGTAAGATAAATGAAGTTTTAATCCATCAGTTGACAAGACAAACGGAACCGTTTGAGGCTTTCCACTAAATGCGGCAACAGACAAAAACAGTGTACAAGCATGATGTAAGGGTTTGGATGTCTAGGTATAGAAAGAGCTGGGCTGACTACTGAAGAGCGACTACCTTTGCTTAGTGCAGTTAAGAACTGTTCGCGTGTGAAAGAGAAATGAGCTTCACTAACGGAGTTTCGGTCACATCATAAAAACTGAGTAGAATAAATTAATTCTTTTAAAGAAAATTACTCGGTAGAACGAGACAGGTGAAGATTGGCCATTAATAAATAACGATGGAAGCCATGTCAAGCAAGTGTACATATAACCAAGTCCAACCTCATGCTAACTCTAAGCAAAACAAATCTTCAGTATTTGGGAATTTTGAACTTGAGCAATTTCTCCTATCCCTGAGCTATCGCAATTCTACTAACACGGAAATTTTGAAAAACAAGCTTAGGATTGAAATCGGCGCCATGTGTGCTATAAATAAAAGTGGTCAGTTGGTTAACTCGAAATGTGCTTAAATAATGAATGTAGGTTACATGGCTTAGTCTAACAAAGATATACAGTACATGTATACCTTTATATTTCTAGTTGAATATCCAGTACACAATCTATAGACAAATTCTACTCAGACTGACTTAAGGGATATTATTTTCCAAGAAGACATGTAGAAACGACACTTGTCGCTTGTCTCGGGTCACATTAGTTACAGACACACACAAGACTGAATCAAAGGTTTTTTGCAGAAGCAATCCTTTTCAACGACAACAAGAGCCATTTTCTTGACGAAAACTAAGTCAAATAATGGCATTGCCCATTTGAAAATTGGGGTGAAGCTATTAGGAAGGGCTTCACGAAAATTTATGAGATGGAATTTTAACAAAACTATATTGTCTGCTATTTTCTGTACATGTCATAACTTTTTACCTATGAAAGAAGGCTAAAATGGCTCGAAGAAGAAAATAACCTAAATTCCATCTAGACAACGATTGTATAGAGCCGACATGCATGAAATTGAAGTATTCGTTATTTGCTGACTGATAGTGAGGTTAGATCTTAAGTCACATTGCAAACACTGAAGAAACTCAACGAAAGCACAGAAGAGGAACTGTGAATTCTAGGGAGTGCATGGTTTAACATACACCAGGAAGCTTGCTTTGTGAAAAGAATAATGGACCTTGGCCCGCTTTTATCGCAGTTATCACAAATAACCAAATGTCCTGTAAACTTAAGTCATAAACTCATACACGCCGTACTCCTAACACGTGCAAAGATGGCAAACAAAGCCATGTTATAAATTCAAACTAGCAATTACTGGACTCTCTTAGATAGCAAACAGGAAAAAGGAATCGATTGTAATTTTAGCACTTTAGGTGAAGGATAAACATTCATCCAACACTACATCCATGGATCTGTTTTGTTATCATTGCATAGGTCACGATACATCATATAAGTTGCCATTTGTACGTCCCTATGTTTCCTTAATTACTTCTGTTTATTGTCTGCGTACTTTGAAAAGGTTCAGCGAGAACCTCGTTTCAATGCTTTACGGTCAGTTTTTGTATTGTTTTTTGCAACAGTTTTTGATACTGAAGTAGTCAAGCTAAGTATCATTGATTATCAAGCTAATCAAGCCATTATTTCTTTGATTCAGATATCATACTGGAGGCTCATCATGGCTCTTCTGTTCCACAGTGTCGGCGCACGCGCACTGCCTTCAATCGTCGTCAGTTACGTGTCTTGGAAAGTACCTTTCTTAGAAATCCATATCCTGATGTGGCTCTGAGAGAAGAGCTTGCTTCCTTAACAAATCTACCCGAATCGAGAGTACAGGTATATTTCGACTCTTCCTTTTGTGGAGGAAGCGTGGCCGTGCGGTTAGAGCGCTGGACTTGTAATCTGGAGGCCCCGAGCTCAAGTTCGGCCCTAACCGCTAGCTGGATTTGTTCTCGGTAGTCCGAAGTTCAAATCCTCGGCCACCCTTGTAAATAGCCAGCTGGTTTGCCTCCTACCAGTTGGGATTCTTAACCCTATTATGTCCCATTTGAATAATTGATTCATTATCCCTGAAAAGCCCCATAAGGGGAGATGACAATCATTAATTATTTAATTTTTTCTTTCTTGAGTTACAATAGCAATTCATTTGTCAGTAGTATAAGACACTCACTTTGAATAGCATTTCACACTATACTGTAACATTAAATTTTTTATTGTTTCTGTTTCGTTTGACAGATTTGGTTCAAGAATAGAAGGGCAAAGTTTAGAAGGGACGGGAGTAGTTGTAATTCCGGTGCATCATTTCCAGTTCACTGTCCATCTTACCAACCATTTCAAGGACACTCTAACACAGCAACAGATCAGTCTATGGTGTTTTCAAATCACGAGAGACCCTTATCTTTGACGAACAATGCTTACCATCAAAATCGAGTGATACAAGGGAATCGCACAAGTGCTTTCCATCACCCACAACGAAATTCCAATAGTTATCCTACCTTTGGAACTTATGTTTAGGAAATTTCAGATTTCTGGGATAATCATGAGCATCCATTTTCCATCATTGGTTCAATTGCACCTCCACTGGCACTGCAAGGATAATGAAAGTCAACCACTGAAGATCGAGTCAAAAAATCTATTTTGGTTTTATGTTTGCTTCTAAGGAATTTACGGAGCTATTCCGCAGTTTTTTTAAAAGGACTTTTATAACAAACTAATTTTGAAAATCATTGGTTGATTTTAGTGTTTTCTACAGCAATAAGGTCTTTGTACTAAAACTTTCATTACGCATTTGCTGTATTGATATCGCTGATATGACGCACCCTGCGATCGACTGAAGTATTGAATAAAAACTATATAAAAGAGTCATTATTTGCGTCACCTTTTTCTCGAGTACCAGTTTGCCGCATTTTACATTACTTTAAAAAGTTACATGTACAAAGCAATACCACCAATGAATCTTTATAACGCACTCAATAGAGTGAGGACAGTCAAAGGGTCTTTAGGTTATCAAGGAAGCCTATACAAGAAGACTAAAAACTTATCCTCATTTCTTAACAAAACAGGTGACCATAGCTCATACCTGAAATGTTCCGGTAGATACTGTTTTATTTTTTATGTTTAGGCAAGACGTTCTCGTTGCCTGTAGCACTACCGCTCACATTCCTATCATCCCCAATGACCTTAAAGAAACCTTAGGGGACGAACATTTTATTTTAAGGGGAAGGGGAGGGGAGAGAGGGGGGGCGGCAGTACCACTTTAACAGGACCAGTTTTAAGAGTTTGATGGTGAGGTTTCATAATGATTCACTGATGAAGTTAAAGGTTGTCGAAGATGAAGAGAAGTCAGCTGTACCACAAAATATTCATAACAAGAAAATAAAACAGAACGGGAGTCACTGAACTCTAGTTAACTGCATAGGCTAATTTTTCTTGTAGTTCGACAGATACGCTGATTAATCTCCTAATAAGGAGACTTTGTGTATGCCAGTGATCCTAAAGCGACCTTTCAGCGATGTTTTAGTGGCTAATACGTCAGTCTTGACAGAAAATGATAAATTGCTTTTCAACTGAGCGCGATAGCAAAATACATTTATTTACATACGTAAAACATGCAGCTCGCATAGAGAGATAAACTCGGCAAAGGAACAGATTTTAGAATCTCTGTAGATAACGCCTGGAAATCAATAGAAGCAATCATTACCGGCTTGCGTTCGGCATCTTTCACAACGTTTATTAGTATGTGACCTAACTGTACAAATAAATTATCTCCCGTTGCCTTGGATAATATCTAACCTTTGTAATAGCGTGTATATATAAGGTTATAATAAATGTCTTCCTTTTTAGTCCCTATGTAAACAACAGTTGTGGTCCTCGAACTCAAAAAGCACAGAAAGAGTGAACTAGTATATTTTCACTTAAATCTCGCAATCAGAAGCCCGTCCACCACATATAAATCGAAAGAGCAAAACAAGAATGGTATAAGTAACAAAATACAAAAAGAGAAGGGGTAAAAGTTAATTTGAGCATTGTATATGTTACAACTGATATTTCATATGTTACTAGATTGAAATCGTTCCATGAGAAGCAAACAAAGTACTGGATATCATTCTCAGTTTACCAACTACTTTAGCATGTGGTGACATGCAATTAAACGTTACGCCATAGTACACTGGGATTGTCTAGCCGCGTGTTGAAAGAGCTAAGTCATAGAAGCTGGTCCCAGATACTTGCGCAAAACCAGCACCCCTTACCAGAATTTGTTTTGATGGGAGAATCGGCAGAGGAGTTGCCCTTTTCAGTGGCAAACATCTTGAAGCTTGATTTACCAATATCGGAGGTTACGAAAAAGGGCCAATCCTCTCTCAATGCAAACAAGGCGCTTACTCTCGCTAAACGAATCGCAGGTAAGTTTTATTTCTTTGGAGTTAAGTCTTAATACGCGACAACGACAACCAGAACATCTATACTACTAAATGAAGCTAAATGACTTAAATTTCTTAAGTTTAATGATGCATGCATGTTCTATGGCTGATGCACATCTATCAAAACTAGAACTCTTCCCATCCTGAAACATATAAAATAAAATAAAATGTTGCATTCCCTTGAATCGATATATTTATATTACAACTCAGCCATGCGTTATGTTCCCCGGCTAATTATTGGGCTACAGTCGCACTTTTCCCTATAAGATTCAACTGCTTTCATGCGAATACGTATGTTTTTGAGAGAATACAAGCTTTTTAAAAAGCTGGCCTTTTTTGAAAACATTCTGGCCTTTTTCTTGCGATCCGGCATTATTGAATAGGCTTGGTCATATCTTTATACACACCAACTGAATTTTTTAAAACTTCCATGCAAAATATGGTCAGTTCGATAGACGAAAAAAAGACAAAGAACGTTTAACAGTTCCACGGTAGCTCAATATTACATTGAAGGTCCTGATGGAGACTTACTCAAATAGCTTTGTTCTTGGGTATCTTTAGAAATTCAATGGATGAAAAGCTTTTTAACGTGGGTCTATATAAGAAATGTCAAGAAAATGATTTACAAAATATTCAAATAGTATTGAGACAGGAGACTGAGTTGTGCCTTAGATCAAACTCTATATTCAGTTTTAAAAAGTTGTGTTTGAACAAAATTTTAACGGAAAACTGCTCTTCATTATGTAATCACTACGCTTTGGAGCCTGATCCACTTAAACCTCTCCACTTTTTTATTCAGCGGGCGTTACATCATAATGGGCGGAAAGTCAAATCCCTCCTAAGTAGTGCTGATCATAAATGTAAATGACTATTGACAGTGAATGTGTTTCAAACCACTACTTAGAGTTTATCGCTTCTAGGAAAGCCAGGTATACTTGTGGCACTATATAATACAAAACAGGCACATGTGATTTCTTCTCTCGGGCAGCGCAACCACGCCGAAGATACACTCTAATCAGTATGATAACTAACTTCCAAACATCTGCCTTACATTATAGAATTGACTACCGCTCAGTAGGTTGAGCGAGGGTCGCTCATTATAAGAGTCGTCGGGCTAGGAATTCTTAGAGATTTAGAACCCATACACTTGAAATGAACTCCTACAAGACAAATATCAAATATTGCTCCCAAGTTATTTTTCTGGCTTGTCACTGACGAACAGTATTTCAAAATATACTATTGAGTATTCTACTCAGCACCACCAATTCATTGTGTTCGAGGTACCCTACTAAGTATCAGTACGGTACATTAGCAAGAATACAGTATAGTAGCGAGATTATATTCTCTTTCAAATTCAGTCACTTGATGGAATGGACACGATTTTAATGATTACATTCCAAGTCAGGCATTCCCTGTCAGGTTATAATTAATTGCCTTTGAGAGGTGGAAGGATGATAACCTCGAATCCTTTTAATTATTTCGCAATATGCAATGTACAGGTAAAATGATTAAATATAAAGATAAATTTAACAATTTATCAATATGGCATCGGGTAAACGTTCCACAAATGGGAGGGGCAAAAAGGGTTCTATACGGCCGGGTACCTTCATTCTTTCTTTATTCATTCATTTGCTTCATCACGCATTTAATGGTTCACTCTTTTCTTTCATTGTCTGTATATACCACTCTTTTCAGTTTACCATTTTTCCAAGAAAATAAAAGAATACTGTTAGAAAAAATACTCAGTGCTAACTTAAAGTCATTTGAACATTTTTTAGACGTGATTATGGAAGCAAAGAACAACGCAAAGGGTGGGGGACAGAAGCGCCGCCGTACGCGTACAGCCTTCTCTCACTACCAATTGGCGACATTGGAAAATGCATTTTCACATAATCACTACCCAGATGTGGTGATGCGTGAGCAGTTAACAATATGGACTGGGTTGCCCGACTCTACCATACAGGTATGAAGAATTTGAGGCCAACAGCATCGGAGTAGGTAAATTTTCCGTTTTGCAGTGAACACGAAACAAATTTCCTTGACTGGGTAAAATATATGTTTTTGAAAACTTCAATTGCTATTGTAATCTCTGCGTTCTTCGGAACTTCGCTTAGTTTAGTTTTCATTCACGTTTTATAAATTATTATGATCCATGACCGTTTAAGAATTATGAGAGTAACTGCTCCGTTTATGAGCCAATTTTAAAAAACATTATGTAATGAACGAGTGAATGAACGAAAAAATACGAATGAATAAATGAATGAAGGAAGGAAGGAAGGAAGGAAGGAAGGAAGGTGGGAGGGAATGGACGAACATTATCGAACCTACAATCAGTATGCATGAAAATAACGGAACTTAATAGGCATTGTTCAAAGTCGAATTCTTCCTGACCACGTTTAGCCCATCATACCTTATATAATATGTTTAATTTTACGTAATAAAATTCTCAGAAAATCCGCTTTCACTGCCGATCTGTCTAAAAACATGAAAGGTAACCGCTAGGAAGAATTTTTACCCTTTACTAAAAGTGTTTTGTCATAACTGCAGATTTGGTTCAAGAATAGGAGAGCCAAGTTCCGCAAGGAAAAAAAATGTTCTATGCTCGGTGTGGACAAAGATCAGGGTGTCGAAGATTCAAATAGTACGGGAATATCAATGCGACCAGCTCTCCGCCACGCGGGTGTACCATCGTGGTCATCTCTGTTACCTGCAGCACAAGACAACAGAGCTACTACCGTGGAGCAAAACCAGCTCCAAAAACCACTACCTTCCAGTGGCGGATCCAGGGGAGGGGCCCGGGGGGGGCCGGGCCCCCGCTTATTTTTAGACTAAACAAAAACGTTTTTTGAGACCGCCCCCCTTAGCTTATCTCACCCAGGGTCTGGATGACCCCCTACCCACCCCCTTATCCGAAGGTCTGGATCCACCACTGTCTTCAAACGTTTCGTTGTCATCTTCGAGATCCTCTTGGAAGATAACGTAACTGGAATATCATGACTATTACTGCTTCCTTGATTTCTAATTAAGCTTGCTTCTGGATAGTAATATGTTTAGCCTGCATAATAGGCGTTATTTTTTGGCGTTTTTCAGATAAGCGAAGGCAAGCGCGAGGCGAGCGAGGAGCCAGACCTTAAAAACGCAAAAGAACGCAGGTTATAATATGTGTAATGTGTTCTTCTATCATGACTTAAATAATAATGATAAATATAGAGCTGGTAGAGTCAGGTAGAGAGAGCGCGGTGCATAAAAGTCTTATGCTATGAGATACCTCTAAGACTGCCCTCAGATAATCAATAATAACATTATAAAAACATTTTCACAATCGGGAATCCAGTCATTTTATATGTATGAAATGAGAATGGCTCGGATACTATGGTCTACCGAGCAACACAAGTTGGAACTAGAAAAAGCAAGAAAGCACTAGAAAAAAGGTGTTAGTTAAAACCAACCTTGGTTCTGGAATTATGTGTTAAGACCTTTCACTGAGATACGTGGCACTTAAAAATCATACCTACATATTCATCTAAGAAAAGGTGGCGCAAAGTGTAGGAACAAAATCGCAGGAAATAAATAAGATGGGGGAGGAGGAATAAAGAAAATTAAAAACAAACATTACCACACCCAAGGAGACACTTTTGAAACTTTGGTTTCCCTACAAATTGCGGTAAACCCACGCTCCGGGAGTTACCAATGGAGTAACTTTGAAACCATATAGACTGAGAAGACATTTCTAAAACGCGTCATCCGCTACCTCCTTTCTTCCGCAAAATTTTCCTGTGAAATTCTCCTGAAAGATTCAGCACAAAAATTCTGGATGCACATTTTTGGTCAGATATCCTTTACTTAAATATTTGCATATGAAATTCAGAAAAAAAAAATTAAATCGCTATCCTACGGTTTCAAAAGTCGCTACAATGCGTTACAGTATACATGCTATGTGTTACAGTACACAGTTTAACAGACCTTTCTAGATGTGGCGCCCAGTCACAGAAACGCCCACGTTTATTAATCTCTCAGCTTTCACTTAGAAAGTTTCATTTATCAAGACACGGTTTAGACCTTCCCATGCAGTTATCTTAACCTCTCTGTTCGTTTATTTTGAGAACCGGCAATCAGAATAGAAAGCTTAATAGCTAACTGTAGCGTCCCTAATTCCCCCTAATTCTTAGTTAGTACCTCCTGTATATTCAGTATCACCTTAAAGTTATATGCTTCGCAACGTCTGGCCAGATTTCATAACTGGTTTTTTGTAATCAGGGAGTTTATGGGCGCCTATCGCAAGGATATCCGCGTGTTCTTTCCAGCTCATACAGTAAGGAAGCGGCACACAAACCATATAAAAAAAGAAAAATGCCATGCCAAAGCTTCCTTACGACACAGCAGGCAAAACATTAACATTCGATTTTCACACCCTCTCTTTGGGGTAACGGAAAATCAGATTACCTTAAGGCGATAATGAACACTTAGGGTTCCCTTGAGCCCTTGATCGGTTTTTACAGCTTTGTTTTATAAATTCTGAAATAGAAGCGAGATTATCGGCGGTCTGTAAACTTTCTACATAATAAACACGTGCTCACTTATGCAGCCCTGAGAAGCAAAGAATACTGTGACACTGACTGTGTCCCTTCCCTCTATTTTCTTAAGAGGGACGGAAAATTTTGGGCATACCCGTACAGAAGGTATGCTCAAAGATGTGCTATCAAGTAAGTCTGTGAAGTATTACTTGAAAAAACGTACATGCAATTAAAACTACCACCATTACGGTTTGTGTACATTGTTTTATTATTCTAATTACTTTCTACGCAGGAGGTCCATGATAAAAAGTAAAGACGTGACTGGAGGGGGAAGTTGTTTTCTCCCGCTTTCCTTCTATCAATTTCTTTTTTTATCATTATCAAAATCTAAAGGAACATGAACTAAAAAAAAAATGGTAGAGAAGTGACAATTCGATCGGCAGTTACAATGAAAATCCCTTCCTACAAGTACTGATTAGTAAATTGCGGATTTAATGCCATTATGAAGGATTATAGCATCGGCTTAGAAATAATTTGAAGAGCGACTAATGGTTTTCAATAAAGCTTTTCTTTTCTACATCAATTATGTTCTTCTGGAGGAGAACTGAAAGTCGGGTCTTTTATTCGAAGACAAAAGGAGCAACACGAATAGAAAAGTAGCTCTTTGCTCTTTCCATAACGAGAAGCAAGAGTCAAGAGCAATTTAGGTTGTTTTTATGTTTCTAAAACGGTCTGATATTAACTTTCGCTAACGGACAAATGTAGAGGCCAGAAGTCAAGAGGGGCTTTAGTATCATCGATTTTTAAGTCAAAAAAAATATATAAGATAAGGGCGTTCAAAGAAAGCTCAGACAAAAGTGCGATTTGCACGTATCAGTAATAGCTCCCATACAAAAAGATCGTGCTAATTGGTTACTACCACAATAACTGCCTTTAGGTGGGGTATAGTCATTTCTAATTAAATTACCATCAATCAGAGCGACAGGTTTCACTTATCGGCATTTTACCAAAACAAATACCGGCAGCCAAAGAAGGGAGATTTGGATCATCAATCAAACACGTTAGAGGGACGACGAGCAAGTTTCGTTTGCGAGGTTTGTCGGCTGTTTTGGATCACCAACAAAGTGAGCAGGAGTCTACAGGTATCCGTTATGTTTTCTCTGGTTTATATGCGGTGGTAGAATTCGGCCATTAACTAATTTCATTTCTGCCGCTTCAGGTCACCAATAATCTTCTCTAGATAAGTGGAGGTACTACACAGTTTTCAACAGAGTGTTTTCAACCAGCTTCCGTAGCCTGTAGTACCGCACCTAACATACTCACATCTACTGAATAAAGTATATACTCATTGCGTTTGTTTCTTACATTCGTTTTCTTTCTATTTTTCTTTTGGTTTATTTTTTGAATTTCTATTCCATTTTGATATCCAAAAAGGGGTTTTGAACAAAGCCTTTAGGAGCAAATATCGAACTTCAGGGCTAATATACTGTTTGTATAAAACTCTCACCCGAAACAATGTCATAATTCATCAATTGTAAATGTTCATGCTAATGCATAAAATATTGGAATGCAGGCCACTTAGCGAAGTGTACACAAAATAATCGCATTAAAATACCGACCCGGTAAGGCCGTTTTAGAGCTAGAGCCGTAAGAGTGTATGCACACTAAGACTTCAAATACAGATGTGATCGTAAAGAAAATTACCATGTTCAGTTGAAATAGCATTAAGTAAAATTTTGATGTCCGTAATCTTAATTAAAATTCTTCTAATTCGATATAGCCAAACTAATATTTTAAAAAGACTTAGAGATCGTCTTCCTAGACTAGAGGAATTTTTGGATTTCTCGCGCATCACTGCCTAGGATGTTAGCTCAGCAGGTATGAAACTCCTGTAATACCGTGTGACAGTTTCCAGAAAACACCACAGAAGTTACGTAGTAAAACCACGCCGACTTCCGACTATAAAACCATATGAGCTCATGATTGCAGCCTGAAAAGAACGTTAACGTTTATCGGTATTTCACTCTAAACTTATCCTTTCTTCAGGGTTGCGGCTTCGCCTTTTGCGACAACTAAGACCATCAGCGTATGCCTCATCATCTCACCTAATGGATTCCGCGTCGTCATTTTCAATCGACAATATATTAAGAAATAATCCATCTTCGAGAAATACAAGCCAGTTGTTTAGTGGACAGAATGGACACCGCGCTCTCACATTAGCGGAGCGCTTAGCAGGTATGTTGTAGAACTTTTAAAATTCTTTCTTAATTTGATATTTGAGCCATCATATTTGAAACAGCTAAGAGAAAGGGTGAAATTAAATCAACCATCTGCAAAACTCTTTATCATCGATTAAATCGTCAACGCGAGAATGAAATTATGATTGACTCGGGGCGGTTTTACATGTAAACCCATGGAGTTTTTATAGCATCAGACTGAAAACGCGAAATCCTTATTCATTTGGGTTATAATTCTACGAGGAAACTAACGCTATCCTTGCTTATGCCACTTCCCTCGAGAAAAATATTCAGGCCAAGGATAAAGAACTGACTTCGAATCCGTTAAGATGCATTTCAAAAGAAACAGATTAAACTATCTACTGTCTCTTAGTATCTGTCAGTAAGAGCTCAATGGATACACGGGTTGTTTATTTGGTATGAGTTGATGTTGTTTCAAAAAGCCAGCTTGTGAGTTATCATTCAGTTAACTTGTTTATCTAACACGCCAGTCATTTTCCCTGAAATTTTCGGTGGCTCTGTTTCTTCAGTTTAAAAAAAGATGTGTTTTCAGGGAAACAAAGTACAACAAACTCTGCACTTTGCAGGGTGGCAATGCGTAATCTCGTAAATCTCACCACAATGCTTTCCCTTAATATACTTTCATTACCATTTAAACCAGGCAGTAAAACTTGTAAAGCTACATGCGAACGGATGCAACAATGTTAGCCAATTGGTCAACATTGTTGCGTCCGTTTGCTAAAAGTTTGACCGGTTTCAAACGCTGCACAACAACATGCAACAGGGTGTGCAAACGAACGCAACATGTAAAATTCAACAATGTTGGGAGTTGTTGGTCAACAATTTTTTACGTCCTTTTGCACGTAGCTTAAAAACCACCAGGAACGAAAGCTAACAAAAAATGAGCATCAAATCTATTCAGCGATTCTGAAACTCCAACTAAAAAGTATAAGAGGAAAGGTGGGAGATAATATATCAGTTTGAAAGAAGGGAGCGCCTCTCACGCGCGCAATCTTTTGGTGGGGCCTCCTTCAGTAGTTTCACTGTGCAGTCCTATGGCCTCCCGTTCCACCGGGAGACCTTTGGTTTTGGGGTGGGCCTGAATGCATTCCAGTGCTTAAAGTGTCAAGGGAAAGAAACATTGTCGTGAGCACGGTAATTTTAGTTGCATAGCATTTGTTTTCTTCCGGCAATAACATGTGCTTTGTTTTTCAAATTAAAAGGTTTTTAAACAAATGAAAGGATTTATTTTCTCTGTTAACGAAAAGTTTTTGAGTGGTCGGCGCGAGGACTGGATGACGGTTTTCGTCGAGCGCCGCGGCGAAAAAATACGGTTGTATTTTTTCACACATACATATTTTTGGTAATTAAACCTACTTGTTTTACATATTTGTTCATACATACGGATGTGACCAGAAATTGAACTATCAAATAGGACTGTACACCCTTATTTTATATATATAAATGTTGTTTTTCCGGCCCAGGCTAAATATTTTTATTTTTTTGTCGATTTTACGCTGAAAATATTCCGTTGAATTATTCTTAATTCTTAATTATAGCTTGTGTCATTTTCCGCTTTAGAATGTATTAGGATTTCAATTACCAGTGTTCTTGCCGTTTAGTAAAAGGAATAATTTTCTACGGTTAAGTTAAAACACAAAATGTACTGTATTTACAGACGTTCAAATCCTTTTCAAATTCTCAGCCTCGAGTTTATTCCTGAAATATTCTTAAAATTTCGCAAATTTCAACCTCAATATTTTATTAAAATATATTCTTATTGGGAAAAAAAGCGTACGGTGTTGCAACGTACGTGTTTGCGCACATGTTTAATCCATATAAAATACTAATGTTTCTATAGTTTTGTCAGCTGGTAGTTTTAATGAAAAACGAAGAATTTACCAAAAGAATTTACCAAAATTAAACTAACGGAATGTGTTTGTTGCAGATGTAATCCTTGAGGTTCACTACAGTACCGCAAGGGGGAAGCACCGTCGATCGCGCACAGCTTTTACTTATCAACAGCTCCAGCTGCTAGAAAACACCTTTAGTAAAACGCATTACCCGGATGTTGTTATGCGAGAACAGTTGGCACATTGGACAGATCTTCCAGAATCAAGAATCCAGGTACTGTCAGTTAAAAATTGTGTACCACCAAAAAAGTCATCATAGACCAACTCATTGATTCACAATCAATAAACAATTTTAGCTTAAAGAATACCCCTACCATACACTCTTTCTTTATAAGAATATATTTTATAAGAATATTAAGGCTGAAATTTGGGAAAACTTCTGAATATTTTAAGATTCATAAAGCCGGGCTGACTCCTTTCTCTAAACGCAAAACTAATCAACAAAACGAAAAGAAAAAAGTATATGCCTGCTTCTGGTTTTGTGAACAGTTGTTTGAAGAAATTAGAGTCAAACCTTTCTGCAAAGCAATCTTGGTGAAAGAGGCCAGTGGCCATTGTAGAGTGGTAGCCATTCTGGTGATGAAGGGGTAAAGTGACACTACTTTTGAAGGAAGAGGTGTAGAACATTCATATTCTTAAAAATGTTCACCATAGTATATATATGTAGGTAACACAAGCAAAATGGGTCAGCAAAACAGAAAACAAATTTTGGCAACAAAAATATTTTAAAATACAGTAGGTAAAGGTACAATGAATATGTTGTGATTCAATTTTATCTTTGGTTTCAAATTTTATTTTCATTTGTTTCAAACTCATTATCACACATTACCATACCTCAAAAAACAAAGTTAAAATTGAACTACAACAAATACATTTGTCAGGAGCCTATAAATGGTTTTCACTGTGACGTCATCAAATTGTAAAGTCAAAATAGCGAGGTTTTACGATTTCCTATTTACACTAGGTTGAAGATAAACAAAAAGCAAATCTTTGTACAAGTTTCCATTTCCGTAGCATTTTTCGGTTCGAAAATACAGCAATTTGAACTTCCGAGTTTTCACAGTGCGTGACACCAAAATAGGAATGCTGTCTCGTTGAAAAAAAGTCTCTCCTCTTGATTTTCAGCAGTATAACCACTCCAAGTATTAGAAAATATGTTTATGCGTACGTATGCTAGTTCTCGAGTGAAAAGAAAGAGCTTTTATAGAAAAAGTGAACTCCAGATGTTTTTGTTGTTTTCCGGCGGCCATATTGGTGCACCAAAACGGTGCACCAATATGGCGTCTCCATACAAAGCTCTACAAAGGTGCGTGAAACGTTTCGGCAAATAACTCAGAAACTATAAGCCACAAAGACCTGAGACTTGGACAAATTGTTTATATATTAAAGTTTTATAACATTTCATTTTTTTGGCTTCTTCCACTGGACGGTTTCCAATTTAATTTTCTGTTGCGTGACAGTGAAAACGATCTATTACCCGTGTCTGTACATCATTTTCTTTTAAGTGGACAATGTGGAAAGGTTATAGTAACACTCGGGAGGAGTTTTACTAACCGTCACCTTTGTAGTGGTAAATGGTAAAACAGTGAATGTAAGGAAAGGTCCCCCGGACAAAAACAGAGGCCGGTGTGGAAAGATGGCTGTTAGAAGAGGTTCCACTATATGTCACACTAGCCAGTACACATGCACTTTTTTCTTCCTTTTTATTTTCATTTGGCGAGTGTAGAAAAAAACTTGCACTTAAGGTCAAAAAATCTCCGGCGGTTATTATTTTCTTACAAGTGCTCGACCATCTCTAAAAAGAAAAGTTAGTTGTATGAACAAGCTAATGGCGCGGGCACGGACACACCTCATTAGAGTGAAGGTTCATGGTTGATTCTTCGTTCTTTATGAAAAGACAGTGGTATTTACATTACACATGTTACATTACATAGGTTTGGTTCAAAAACCGAAGGGCCAAGCACAGAAAGCAAGAACAAGTGAGAAAATTTAAAAATTCTGGCAGCGGCGTTAAGCCTTCCTCTAAACTGGAAAAAACATTGGATAATACTACTTCAGAGAGTAAGGCAACAATGAGAGTTCCATTGCCTGTCCCACCGAGTATAAGTCTAACAGACGACAGTACACCGTCATCAGCAGAAACGACAGTTACAACAACTCAACGTGAATTAGCAATAAGCGCAAAGTTAACTTCATACACAAGCGCCGAGATATTTTCCCATCATGGACAGCCATACACTTACGAACAATATCCAGTCAACCGGTACGATAATCAATGGCTTTGCTCTGATCTAGAGTCTAGTTATCCGGCCCTACCAGCGATTGACAGCGGCACTCATAGTTGTTCTGGTTTTGACCACGATATGAGGCCAGAAAGAAACATATCAAGTGCAACATTCTCTACAAGGAGACCTACTTCTTCAAGTGTCGATTTGTGGCGATGTCAGGCAGGCTTACACAGCGGCTATTGTAAATGGACCGGTCCTACGGGGTGTTACCCATACTGAATTATACACGCATTTCATTTGTTGATGGTTGTTAAAGGAGCGAGGGGAGGAATGGGTGGCGGAGGTATGATCTAATTAGAAGAAGAAATGATCAAAAAGAGAAGCACCCGAAGCGAACGTAAATACCGGCGTGTTAGGTAAATACGGGCATGTCATATTCTGTCTCAGTTTTCGGTCTCCTATAAGTAGAGTTTATTTAAATCACTGTATTATTTCATCTCTTCCCTTCACACCTTTCCCCAAAAAAGATGCTTCATGAATCACACAATTGTAGCTCCTAAGTCTTCAGAAACTTTCGGAGGGCTTTCTTACTTGCTTGTTAGTTCGTTTCTTTTTTTTTGCTCCGAATTATGTAAAGAACAGGATAACCATCCCGATAACTTGGTGAGCCTGTGTCACCGGGTAGTAATACGAAATCAGTGAACGAGCAAAGAGTTTTCAAAGTAAAAAACGTAAATTTATATTGGTTTCTGTTACCGTTAGTATGCCCTTTGGTTCAGTTATAATAGAATAAGTCTTGATTCGAGAGGCTGTTTCAAGTTTCCTCCTCATTCAATACACTTAAGAACGTTTTGTAGGGAAAATACCCTCTTTTCTCCAATAGAAAGTAGAGAAATTTTAACAGAAGGTACAGCTATTTATAAAGGGACATTTGTGCAGTATAAAAATGCATTTACAGCATATTCTGCCAGAAAAATAAACGTGAAATTACTTTTACTTTAGTTGTGTCTATGTCTTTTTGAATTAAGGATGAGAGACCATGTTCGCAGTGTCGCATAAGGCAATATATTCATTAGGGTGTCTTTCGAGACGAGAAAAGAATTGCATCGAGTACATAAACCCTTACTAATGTTACTATCGTTCAAAAGTATACGTTACATTACCATCAATCGACTAGCGGTAAACTTTCCATCGTGACAACTTCAAGGCTTTCTGGTTACCCTCAACAGCTGTCATTCATGCTACTGTCATGCAATTCGCACTCTTTCGATCTGCCCCTCGCTGTTCATTGTGCTTCGAATTTTACCCCCCCCCCCCCCCCCCCCAGACACACATCGGGGTTTTTTCCCCACAACCCCCAAACAAAAAACAAAAAATGCCATCTTTGATCATCCCTTTTTGTCCCGCTAAATTCACAACAGGGAAAACCGCGCGTATCGGGATACTGAAGGAGGATAGGCATAGTTACCTTACCACACACCATCTAGCGGTAAAACTTCCCATGTGAACACTTCCAGGGTTTTTGGTTTCCCCCCACACCTGTCCTTTATGCTACTTTCTTTTGATTCTCACCCTTTTCATCTCCCCCCCGCTTTTTCTTGTTGCTCAAATTTTTCCCCCCCCCCCCCCCCCACTAACTGAGACACTTATCGGGATTCTTCCCCAAGACTGCGAAAATTCAACATTATAAGTGCCATTTTGGATCATGCTTTTTCGCCACTGTAAATTGAAAAGGGCGAAACAGCTGTCTATGGCTACAATCCCGCTCTGTTTTGAGTTCTTCCGGTGTCGAGTTGATGTCTCGCAGAGTTAATTTTCACGTAGTACGATCAGCATTGCAGTATTCTGCTTGCAGAATTTAATATGTCTACTTGTCATTTTTGCTCAGCAGGTCTTCATAGATCCTACGTTCTTCGTCATACTCGTTTGCCGTCCTTTGCAGTCCTTTGTGGTTAATGTTTGTACCATAAATTGACCAAGAAACTCATCTTGAAAAGACACTGAGTGACTTCTTTTATTGTCCTTTTATGAGCCATTGTTACGAGACGGAGCCGGAGCGGGAACTTTCCCAAGGAGCGTACTCCCTAGAATGGCCTGTACGGAGAGGCTCCGTCAGGAAGCGGTAACCTTTTCAGGCTCCGAGTATATGAAAGGGTATGGATTTTACTGGCTGAAGTAGGGGAATCTGACTTTTCGCTCCGTAAAGTGACCTAAAAGGGCTCCAGATGGAGAGATATGTCCAAGTTTGCATGCAGTAGCAAAAATTGCGAAAAATTGGAGAAATCGCTTTTTTTGCTAAAAATACTAAATTTAAGAGGTAGAAGGGTGCCCAGCAAAAATTGCGATTTCTGCAATTTTTGCTGCCTTTTTTTGCGATTTCTCCAAAAATTGCGAAAACTTGGAGAAATCGCAGTTTTTGCTAAAATTACAAAATTCAAGAGTTAAAGGACGGAGAAGGGTGCCCAGCAAAAACTGCGATTTCTCCAAACATTGCGAAAACAATGATGGGAGAAATCGCAATTTTTGCTAAAATTACTAAATTTATGAGTCAAAGGAGGGAGAAGACAGCCCAGCAAAAAATGCGATTTCTGCGATTTCTGCGACTTGTCTGAACACAACTGAGGTAAAACGAAAACATTTGTTCAAGAAAGCAATTATTAAGTTATCCAAAACAAATTGAGAAAATTTCCGTTTCCTTTCAGTTAAACTGACATCAAACCATGAAAAAAAAAGTATTGTTTGGATTCACTATACGTCGCGACCACTCAAATGAAAGCCTGGCGTAAGTGTGCCGGCAGTTAAATAAAAATTTGATTTTGACCTTTCATGGACAGGAAAACGGTAATCCGGTAACGGTAAGTATATTGCTATCTAGTAAAAAATCCTTTCCGCTCTGAATCCGCTAACAGGACGTGTATTGCTGCGAACGCTCTCTTATTATCGACCAAACTTCAACAGGCCAAATTCTCCTGCCTATCCCTGTACAATTAACTACTTAAGAGAACGTGAGGATTATGCGCTAAAATAAACACGCCCATTATCAGTAAGTTATCCAAAGATTCTCAGTCCACTCTAATTTATCCATGCGATCCTTTACGTAATTTATTTTTCATTTGAGTCAAATTAAAATGTGTTTCGTGTTCCTGCCTCTTTATAAAAGATTCACTCAGTTTCTACACTCTAGTTCGCCCAATGTAAAGAAATCGACAAAGTAATGTCAACCACTGTAACCGTCACTTTGTTTTATTTTCTTGAGCAGAACTAGGTTGAAATGGATGTAAATACAAGGGAAGATCACTGCGGATGAGTAATTTGTGTGTTTATTGTATGAACTGAGGGGGAAGGGAAGTGCTGCGAAGGGAGATTGGCGGTATGAAAGTTGGAGAAACTATCAGCCGACATCCATTTAAGCCCGTTTCGGTTTGTTTCATGGTTCTCGAAATACTATTTACGACGGAGTATATAGTTTCTGAATCAACCTCAGGAAATTATCCCTCCCATGTGTGGAAGCTCACAAGCTTGTAGCTTTGAATTAATATCATGTATCAGTAAAGGTTGTATGTATGTAAGCCCCATAAGAAACTTTGACTCCAATTGAAGAAAACGTACGGCGAATGCTATTGACGTATTATTGACAGTTGAATGGTACAGCAGATGTTAAAGGGCGTAAATTTTCGGTAACTGGGCGAAAAACAGCGGTATTCAAGAGTTCCCGCCGCATTGAAAGCCCATCCACTTTTCGTGTATCAAGCCTAGCAACATCACGAGCTAATTTATTTAATCAGATTTAAATGATTGTTTATTTCCCTAAACGTTGATAAAGGTAACTGCTCATGCAACAATGATTCCCGCCTTTCAGAGCATAACGCGTTTCTCGTAATCAAGTTACGAACTAATCTCCCTTAACCCTCAAGACCTTAAAAAGCGCCAATAAGTTTACCTCACTCGTGGGCAGGTATTTATCTCGATACACTGACACTGGCAAGACGAGAATGTTTGCAGATATTGCAAAGTAAAAAAGAGTAGAGTAGTACCAACTTTACTTCTTCTTGTACTGTAAATATCCCTAATGTTTGTCGGAATAGGTTATAAAAGTGGCACTGCGGTCCTAATCGCGTTGACTTGGTGAAACGTCGGGCAAAGTAAGTCAGTCATATGTTAAATACTGGGGAGAAAGCCATGTTAATAGTTGAGTGCGATAGAAGTGCGAGTACTTTCAAGTTTTACGTGAACTAAGAGTAACGAGGGAAGTGCTCTTCATGAGAACTGCACGAAAAGTACGAGCACATGTCGAGTACACTATAGAGCTTGCAAGTTCATGGGTGTTGAAAAGTGTTTACGGAATTGAACAGTACACTGACAAGGAGAAAGGTTTTAAATTCTTCCAATCAATGTTCCGGGCAAAAACTTCGCGCGCTCGTTACTGCCGCGGACATACGGGCATTGTACATTCCTGAAAGCAGGGGGTGAAGGATTCTACGGGGCACATTAAACTCATGACAATATTACAAAGTCATTCTGACCAATCATTCGAAATCATACTACGCGAACTTCTTATCTTTTATTCTAAATAGATCGTTAGAGCTTAACTTGACTTATACGGTGACCTCAACGCCGCTGTCTCTAAACAGAATGGTGCATCATGCAGGGGCACAGTCAGTGGATTTAGTTGAGGAGTGCAGTTTGTTTTTTCTGATCTATCAATGTTCACTTATTAGCATTCATAACGTGATATAACAGAGGTAAATCAAACCAATACACGTTGGTTTGATGTCGTATTTCGTCTCTCTCTCCCTTTCTTTCTTTCGTCTCTTTTTTTATCCCTTTCTTATTTTACTTGAAAAACAAACATTATTTGCAAGTCAGACGTCCAGGACTGGCTTTCGGAAGAAAGACCAATAACATACGTTACAGGGGCGGATCCAGGATTTTTTTTAGGAGGGGGTGCACTCCTCTCTTGCTCCACTTCAACACCAATAAACCAAATAGTTTTTTTTTTTTGCAAAATACCAGTTGTAGTCAGGTTTTTCTTTTCTTTTTTTTTTTTCTCTCTTTTTTTTTTTTTTAAAAAAAAAAAAATTTTTTTAGAATACGCACACCCAAGAGTGTGTTGGGAAAAAAAAAAAAAAACGTAGAGTAAGGGGGGGAGATCAGTTTTTTTTTTTGGGGGGGGGGGCCCCCCTCCTTCCCCCCATCCACATCAAAAAAAAAATTTTTTTTTTTTTTTTTAAAAAAAACCTGTTTTATGGAAGGGGGGGGGGGGGGGGGGGGCTTCGCAC